TGTTCATTAAGTGGTAACACTAAAATGTTTTCAGTTCCAACCTGTAACACAACAATCTGCAGAAAAGTCAGATCGGGTGTGATGTTTGAACTTCTGCAAGGGATTATACCTGGTGCTCCTTTGAAAAATTCCCCAAAACTGCTGTTAGTTTAAATGCAACTACTAGGCTATTGAGATTACTTGATGAAAAACAACTTGACCCCTTTTACTGGGTATAAGTCAACTACTGAGCACAATTTAATATGCTGGCACTAACTTTCAATGCTGTTCATAATATGGGATCCAATAGCTCAACAGTCCACATGACATGTCATCCCTGGGAGTCTGGCTAATAATAAAATAGGACTTTCAGTTGTAGCACCTATCTGGGGAATGCCCTCAATAAGGATCATCTGGCACTTACTTGCAGACTACTTTTATGCCAAGCTAAGATTTTTGATGTTCTAGAACTATGAGTTCCAAAATCTAGTCCTCCAGATGTTTTGGACTTCAACTTCTAGAAGCCTCAGCTGCCTTGGCCAATGATAAAAGTTTCTGGGAGCTGAAGTCTGAAACACCTGGAAGAGCAGAGTTTGGGAAAAGTTGCTCACCGTGCTGACTACCTATATCACCAATGAGCTCAGAGCAGAAATCCAGTATGGAAAGTAGATTCCGACCTCAACCTTATTGTGTTTGATTTTCTTATTTATTTAGTGTCATTATGCTGGCATGGTTGTATATGCTTACCATTCAACTGATTTTCATTGCTCATACGTGTTTTTGTTATTTTATTTTTGTGATTTCATTATTGTACTAGAAATATACATGTTAAAGAATGGAAAAAGTAGGAGACTTAAAATTAATAAATAATTTAGCTATGTACCATTTATAATCCTGTCAGTTATTGCTATAAGAATGATTTCCCATGACGAAAGAGAAGCCAACACATTTGATCTTCCTGAATCACTGATGCTCTTCCAACTAATTTTTACTCTGATTAATAGATCAAAGAGAAGTTTTCAAGAATCACTGATGAGGGATAAGTAAATATTTAAAATGTGCAGTGCTCATTCATTCTTCAGTATTTCCTACTCTCAAAAAGGACATACCAAGAGTGGCCCAAAAAACAAAAGGATCAGGGTCAAGTTTTTAGCTCATGGGTTTAGAAACAACAGGTAGGAGGAGATGACATTGACTGAATGTATTCATTAGTTACATTTATATCCTGCATCTTCCTGGATTCAAGACCTGCCTCCCTTTCTCTTTACTTTATTCTCACAATGCAACTGAGAGGTAGGTAAGCTGTGAAAGAGTAACAACAGTCATCTGTGAATTTCAATGAAATCATTATTCAAAGATCCAGAAGTGAATTTCATTATTCAGTTCTGGATCGTCCAATTCCCAGTCCAAGTCTCTAACCACTACACCTCTGAAGAGCCTCTAACACAGTTCTAATTTAGTATTAATTAACAGTAATGAAAAAGTTAGCCATGGCTCAGGTAACATTCATTTCAATTAGGCCTAAGTGAAACTAAATTTGACTACAGTGCCATAGGCATCCTTCTCTGAACAAGTTTCAAGTTGTTAACAGCACTGGCCTACCATGAGCGCAGGTGAAGCAAATGCCTCAGGCAGCAGAAAGTAAGGCAGCAGCAATAGTCCTTTCCCTGGTGCTCCTGAATCCCTACAAAGATTGGAGCAGCTTTATAATTTCTAATGGAAGTGTCCATAATCCATAGTATTAAAAACAAATAGGTCTTTTAAAGCTACTTCAGCAAATTGACATAAATACAAATTAGCATGTTTGGGCTCCCATTCTTCAAAACCTCTTTCTGCAACAATAACACAACTTTCAATAATCTCAAGAACTAAACAAAATACAGAATGTGGGAGTTAAGTCTCAATTAACGAATGCCAAAGACGAAAATTATAGACGTAGGCTTTCCACAGCGCAGTTGCTTATATGTTTCAGAATGCAGAGACAAAAGCAGCGTCCCTTGATGTATTACAAGAGACAATGTTGTGACAGCTATGATATTAGGAAAAGGTACAATGCACAGTCAGGATAATCTCAAGCAGAAGGCTGCTTTCATACCATTTTTCATTTAAAACAGGCATAACAACAACATGCACCAACAAACCCCAGTTGATCAGCACATTCATTACAAGAAATGAAAAGAGTTTTGAGGAATCAAAAGATAAATGGAAAGTTTACAGGGCCCAGGTTTACAGACACAGTGAAAAAAAAATCCTCAAGTTTTTAAAAACTTGGTCTCATAAGAAATGTTTTGCTAAAACCGGAACTCAAAGTCTGTTAACTTTGACTATGCTTAGTGTAAGCTACCATAACAATCCAACCCAAATCATATGTACTCAAACACAGCCTTCAAAAATTCCAGCAGAATATACAAATACTGTACACAACACATGTTGGGGTCTTTAAATAGTTTTCCTGTAGTCACCTGGGTCTACTACATTGCATAATACAAGAAGACAGAAATATTCTACCTATCCAGTTTTCCATCAGTGATGCAAATTCAGACAGCATCCCACAATATGATAAATTAAACAACATTTTTCCCCCATTGGCTCTTACGGTGGAGATTGTATGACAAGCTGGCCAACAATTGGGTCAAGGAATGGAAACTGCCTTTACTTAAATAGTTTACCCAGTTTACCTGTCCGAACGGATTCTCCCCTATGAACCATCAAGGCTATTAAGATCTTCCGGGGGGGGGGGCTGCTCTCGGTCCCACCACCCTCGCAATCACGGTTGGTGGGGACGAGGGACAGGGCCTTCTCGGTGGTGGCTCCCCGGCTTTGGAACTCCCTCCCACTAGAGATCAGATCTGCCCCCTCCCTCCTGATGTTCAGGAAACTACTAAAGACCTGGCTCTGGAATGTGGCATTTGAGGACTGAACCTGTAACCTCCTTCCTTGTGCTGAACTGTGATGAACTGTGACTACGAGTATGACTATGACTGGATTGACGTCTTGGCTTAGGTAATTGTGATGATGATGTTTTATTGTATTTTAGTGTACTATTTTAATATGTAATGACTTTGCATTTTGTTGTACTTATATATTACTGTACTTTCTTATATGCTGTAAACCGACCTGAGTCCCTCGTTGAGGTGAGAAGGCCAGTATAGAAAACCTCTAAATAATAAATAAATAAATAAATAAATAAATAGTGTCATGAGTAGATTTATCATGAACTCTTCTTTTTGTTTAATTACACCTTGATGGCAATGACAGGAATTAGGGGGATTTGCATCAGGACTGTTGTAACTGCAGGGAATAAGGCAGATTTAGGACTCCTCACCCAACCATCATGATCCTGATCCCTACACACATATATGTGTCAAGGCAGCTGAGAAAAAAAAAATCTTATCAAAGTGGTGTTAGGCTCTGGGAAAACAGAACTGACATGTTGTCATTCAGGGACACAATTGCTTGATTTTATATTTGCTTGATGCTGATGTTCAGCATTTCCAAAATTCAGTTCTTAATTTGGAGTTCAGTTGAAGATTTCTTTGGTTTCAAATGCGTAGCAGTTAGCACCTCCTTATAAGGTATGGGGCCAAAATATTCTGTTTTACCTTCAGTAATAATATGTATCTAACTACATAGAGGAAAGACAGAATAGCCAGCACATCCCAAATCTACAAATATAATTTGAGGTAATCTAGGCCTTCCTATTTTAGAACTAAGAAACCAACAATGACAAATGAAGCTGAAGTTTGAGACGTGAGAAGTCGGTAGCAGTTGCTGCTGCTGCCAGTAGGCCTAAGGGCTTCTGAATAGTCAGAGCAGACTGTCCTGGTTGTGAAAGAACAGAATGGACCTTGTGATGGAGGACCTCTGCCCTGTTGAGTGGGAGAAATGCTTTTCCTTCTCCTGAATGCAACATTGCTCTGACAACATCTATTGCTTTTGTTGGATCTAAAATAGACTTCTTGGGGTTGACTTTGAGACTGAAAATCATGAACAGGAAAGATGTTAACCTCCGCCTCTTATGGAAACTGAAGCATAAGCTAAGCATAGAATCCTCTGAACCTTTCACCACTCTGAGTTGGAAGTATGAGTGTAAAAACTACAAGAAAGTGTGATGCCACTGAATTCAATGGGGGATAGTTAAGCACACCTGGAACTCTCTTCCTAACCAGACAAAATAGCAGGTTTGGGAGTGGGCAGGGGGAGCATTGATCAACCAGAGTTCAAACTCCATCTGTATAACTTGAGTAATACAAGAATTCAAGGTCTTCTGGAAGGTTGATCTCTTTTTGTTATTCTATCACATGGTGCTTGCAACAGAAAGAACAGATATATTAGTTTAAGATGCTGTCCTAAAGCTCAGTGAAGCCAGTGAGAATTATATAGTCTTCAGCTAGCAACTGCATCAGACCCTAACTGTGCTGCTAAGATCTTCACACAAAACAATTCATTTTTATTGTTGACAATTTCTTTTACAGTCATTAAAAAGTATTTCACTGCAATTGCCATCGATATTGCATACTGAGATTATCCTCTCAGTGATTTAAATCTACAATGTGATCTCCAAACAAGAAAAAAAAATCCACATTGTGCTGTTGGAAGTGTTTCCTGAATAATAATCTATTTTGTAGTCCAGTTTTGCAGTTTCAGTTACCATAAAACACAGGGGTATTTGTGTATTGCCCTACACTACAGACTGCACCTCCAGAGTTTGGGTTGAAAATCAATAAAAACTCATCCCATGAAGTGACTGGAAATCTTTCTGGTTTTCATTTTGGAAGGGAGGGAAGGGGAGGGAGGGAAATCTATGTTGTAACTATTACACGGAAGATCAAAATCAGTATCTGCTAAACAAAAAGGAACAATCCGCTTCCTTCTCATTTTATCAAAACTGAGCAAAACAGATGCCTGGTTATTGCAGGTAACAGAAGAAACCCCTAGACATACTCCAAAAATATTAATCAACAATGGCAAACTCTCCTAGTAGCGGCAGAAACAGCAGCAAACAAACACAGGGTACTTACTTTAGCAAATGTTGTGCGACAGAGTGGTGAGCCAAGAGGCGGCCATCATACATCTCAGTGGAAGCCCATTGCATTATGTTCTGGTGCATTCGGTACTGCACAGTTAGCATTTTGACAACATGGTCACCATATTTTTCAATCAACCTTTCCATTAAGCTGAGGGAAAGACCCTTCGAGGCAGCCCTGTATCAAGAAATTAACAAACAAAAAATTAAATAAGAATGAACAAAGAAAGCAATTAAGAAGGTTGCAGAGTCATCAACTTCATTTCAATGTTTGGCATTCTGAGAAATACAAAGAGTGACGGTGATCCAGTAAACGAACACAAGGAACAGCTGGCACTTTCCAGAAAACTACTTGCCCTCACAGTTCTTTAGCTCTGTAACTGACAGTGGGAAAAAGCTGTATGTACACTTCCCTGCATCTCAGTTAATCTGCTCCAAAATGTCATACATGAGATCGGGGTCTTCCAGATGTTGTTGGACTGCCTCTCCCAACATTTCCCACCACTGGCTATTCTAACTACAGCTGCTGGGATTTGCAACCCAACATCTGTAATAGGAAATACTTCTACCTTCCCTCCCTTGGTTACGACATCTTTAAATTCCAATTTTTGAATGATATGAAGGGCCAATGTATTTAGAACATCTTTCCATGAATTGTTTCTTACAGAGAGACAAGACAGTGTAGTGTTCTGGGTGTTCGACAATGATTCTGGAAACTGGGATTCAATTCCCCCCTCAACCATGGCAACCCACTGGGTGACCTTGGACAAGTTATAGATTCTCAACCCCAGGAATAACTGTGATAGGGTCAATTTAGGGTTGTTGTAAGCCAAAATGACTTGAAGGCATACAACTACAAAAAGAGGACCAAAGCAATGTAAACAGCATTTTGTTTTTGTTTTTTTTAATCAAATGTATTTCATTATTTATAACAGAACATAACAAATGCAGACATCTGAAAGCTCATAGTTTTGAAAATGTCATACCTTGCTATTTCAATCCATGTTTTAATTACCAATAACCATGTACTTTCTTTGGTGTTCAAAAGTCTAAACATGCCATCTACTGCCCCTTCTTCAAAATTCAAGTTGTGATCCAGAACTAGAACTCAATAAATGGTCTCCATGTTTGAATGAACAGATTCCCCCTTTCTCCTTTTATTATTTATAGTCAATTTATCATTCAAAGTCAAGTTCTGTATTTTCCTTCACAAACACATATTGATTATTTTTTTCAGACTTCTTATTTTATTTACCAGTAGTCTAAGCAATGTAAATGATGCATTAGATTGTTACCTTAGATGGAAAAACACCTAAACAGGGATTCTTCTACTTCTTATTTCTACAGTACCAGCACTGTAGTAATAATACACAAATGTTAACTAAGCAGTCACCTGAAAAGGCCTCATCTAGTTCTGTTTTCCAAACAGACATGACAATGAGAATGGTTCTGATAGTCTGGAAGTAAAAACCATGGCAGTCGGTATAATTCTGATACTACAGTTCATCTGGGCTTTTAGGCAAATATTTTCTGCTTCACATTCTTAAAAAATCCCATGAAAACCTATTGATTAAATGAAATAAAAAGCAAGTCTATGGCTTTCACACATCATTCCGAACCCTTCGTTTTAGCACCAAGCAGCAAATGTTCTAAAATATTCCTTTTAATGTAATCTCATAAAATGTAGAAGAGGGAATAAAAACCACCCTGGGCTGCAAATAAAACTTTTGCATGTGTTAACAGTTGCTATTTCCCTGTGTATTCCTCAACTCACTGCATGGATCTATAACAGACTATTTGGTGAAATTATTAAGAGATCTCTTACCCTGCACTGATATCTGGTAATTATTTATCCCCTAGTTATTGTCACTTTTGGATGAAGTATACACAAAAACATATGGATTAACAATAGAAGTGGGAAAATCTTCTCAAATTAGCCAAATTCTTATAGGCAAATTTTGATTGTATGGACACACTGTTTGTATTAAAAAAAATCTTTTATATTTTGTGGTATAGGCGCTAAATATGTTATTTAACACCTTCCTATTCCACTCTTGACTTCAGAACTGGTCAGGATAGTTTACAATAAACAGGAATACAACAAAAGCTAATGATAATCATCATAATCATTCTGGGAATAAACTAGAATCCAAAAATAAAGAAAATTCTCTAGAAACATTTCCGAAATGACCATCCTGGATAGGTGTTAAAATGTGCTTGAAACCACACATGAGGGTGGGGAGTGAGACAGATGTCCTTCAGCACAAATTATTATTACAGATGTAGTCAGGTTCAAACCAGCAAATCCAACTGAAAAGATAAATTCTCAATTTTTAGCATCAGTGAAGCAATGCATATAAGTGTTTTGTAAACAAATGGGCCTCTTGGCTTACCAGTACTACTGCAGCCAGGAACAGAAGCTCAGAAATAGCAGTCTCTGTGGCATTATTTGTTGATTTCTTGCTGGTGTGCTAAAACAATATTTCTAACATATTTCAGGGCAACATTAGTTCCTGAGACCTACTTCCCAACGTGTTCCTCCAGCTTGTTTGGGACCTACTCTGGCTACTAATGTTATAGCAAATTTAACTCAATACCAATTTCCAAGTTTCATATTTCAGTGATCACAGAGAAATAATAGGAAACAAATACCAGCAAATAGCTTGTTTTCTGAATCAAACCTAAAAATACTGACAGTGTATAACACGCAAAATCCTCAAGGGAAAACATTCCAACAGAATGGCTCATAGAATGCAAAGAAGAAAGTATGTGGTACTTATGTACAAGTTGTCCTCATGTATAAGCCAAAGGGAAGTTTGTACAGGGTGGGTGGGTTATAGATTTTACTATGACCCATGGATAATTCAGAGATCTAACTTAGAGGCATACTTAAATGTTAGAGACACACAAATGGGAGTGTGACTGTGAAAGGTGGGTGACATTATGGTGACCCTGGCCAACTTTCAGTGCTTAAGTGCTCACAACCATCTGAAATAAACAGCACCTGTTTATTAAGGAATAATGTGAGGCAGCTTATACAGACTTATACAATAAGCCCGTATTAAATATGGCCACTGCCACTCCATTCTATCTCAAGTGAGAAGCCAAATGAGAAATTGAGAGAAGCCCATAGCTCATCAAGCTGGCAAAGATATTGCCATCTGTTTCCAGCAATGACCTGTGGATAAGTAATCCAAGGTTTTGGGGGTGATTTTTTCTCAAATATTTTTGATGTATACATGAGCATGTAGAGCAATACTACACCCCTCGTTCTTTTTTCTTGACTTACTGTTGTTGTTCTTAATTACCATCAAGTTGGCTTTAGCTTATGATGAGCCTATGAATGAGAAACATACTCTCAAGTGTGTAACTTTGTAAGTACTTAAATGTGTTGCAACTATGGTATTTAATGCATATGTTCAACAAATATTGTTGTAATAACAAGGTTGAAGACTTAACTAATTTCTTTGAGTACATTTCAGTATAAGATGTTCTATATGTATACAACTGTAGCAAAATATTGATTCGTGTATTAATTTCAGTCCACCAGAAGAAGGCCTGAAGTAGGCCGAAACCGGTCGTGAATGGTTCATCTACAAGCTACTCATAAGAAGATACGACTGTACTAAAAAAATTGCATGATATTGTTTATTGTCGCTGTGAAGTTAAACAGTGTAGCATGTTTATATAATTGTGTGTTGAGCTTGATTATTGTTTATCTTATATAGTGGTATTTTTGTTGTATGCACCTCATTCAGGAACCCATTTATATTGTATTATCTCTACCTCTTCCCAACAACCTGGAGATTCTATTGCTTCTCACAACCATAAACCTATCTTCCTAACAAGAGACATTTTAAAGGCACACAGCGTAAGAAAACTGCATTCTGATTATTTTCTTCTTTACATTTTTCAGCTATCTGTCCATAAATTGAGAAATGCAGAAGAGGATTTTATTCATGGTTCAAAATCTACTGTAGAACAATGCATTTTTAAAATAATAAATGTAACAAAACAATGAGTCACCTTTCAGGTTTGCACGATGCTTTTATCAGAGACAATAATAATTAATATCTGGGTGAAGGGAAACTAGTAGTGTAATTGCTTCTCAAACACAATTCCAAATCAAGATAAGCTGAGCTTTAATTTTAAAGTAAACAGGTTCATCTTGGAGATGTTAGGTCGCACACAATAAACTGCAGAGGTAGAAGCTACCTATGGACAATCAAAAAGTTATGAGCAATATAGGTTCTGTAGGTTTGTTCTTAAGTTAAATTTGTTTTTAAGTCAGAACAGGCACGTTTTAAAAGTGTAACTCCAGCCCAATATATTTTAACTTTGGATAACATAGGAAAGGGTTAACACTCCTGTGGTTTTTTTTGCTGTCTGTGTCCCTGTTCAGAAGATTTCATCTTACTTTCTGTCTCTGTGATAATTGGATTTTGAAAAAAAATGGCTTGTCATGGAAACAAGGATTGGTGAGAAAGCTTCAGTAGAGATACCCTTTCCCCATGATAACTCTTCCAGGACTGAATTTCCCTTCCAAGGGGTAGATTTCTCTCACTTCCCATTGTCTCACCCCTGTTCTTAACTATGTGTTGTTTGTAAGTTGGATGTTTGTAAGTTGGATGTTTGACTGCCTGTCCTTTGTTTTGGTGAGGTGGATGAAAAACCACTTTGGGCATCACTTTGAGAAAGAGGCAGCATATAAATCAATCAAACAAAATAAACAGGGTTCTCAAAAATTATTGGATCCATTTACTTCTCTCATTTAAAACAGTGTGGAGCTCTCTGCCTCAGAGTGTGGTGGAAGCTCCGTCCTTGGAAGCTTTTAAACAGAGGCTGGATGGCAATCTGTCAGGGGTATTTTTATTGTGAGTTTCTTGCATGGCAGGGGGTTGGACTAGCTGGCCCACGTGGTCTCTTCCAACTCTGTGATTCTATGTGTCTGTGAAGGGGGGTTTTAAAACAAAGAGGTAACATTTTTCAGCTTCATTCTATCAAGGTATTTACCTTGAAATTAAATAGCAATTTAAATAGAATGTATCAGTTTCTTACCTTATTCATTATTAATCAAGAGCACAATTGCTTTTTTAAAACTAACTTTCCTATATCCTAGACCAAGGAAAAGATGGGGAAGAATTAAGAGGTTCTATGCAGACATTTTAAACCAAATAAGACTGAGTGGAAGGCATTCTGTCTGAACACAATTGGATTACATGTCTTGGGTATTGCTGATACCTTCAACAATAATTGGATTTAATGCGGTGATCTCCTTGGGGCATAACTTATTGGTAACTCAGCTTGCGAGATGTAAATCTGTAAACTATATTGATCAGAGCCATGTTCTTTCAAGCTCTGTTTTACTTGAAACCTATTAAATCAAAAGGAAACAAAGCACATTAGCAGCCACTATCTCAAAATATTGCTTAGAAAACAATATCCTTTGTTTTAGGACTCAGGTGGCCCCAAAACAGCATAATCTGTAAGAGAAAAAATATTTTTCTGCCAGATTGACTACAAGGAATTCTGACGGTAATTTTTAAAAATCAAATTATCTGGTTTTAACTGCAGAACTGAAATATTCTTTATTTTAAATATTACATTGTTTTGTTTTATCTATCTTCCTTTACCTAATATGAATTTTTATATAGCTGAAACATCTCTAATACTGTAGAATATGATTTTTCACAAGTAACTACGAAGCTCCTTAAATACCTAGGCTGATAAAACTCCTCAGCATTAGCTCGAACCTTTTTTTTTTTTTGGTCAAAATACAGTAAAGTTTGAAATTCATGTTTATCATTTATTAAGAACTAGCTGTCCCCTGCCACGCGTTGCTGTGGCCCAGCCTGGTGATTCGGAACATACAGTAATGAGAAATTGTTGGTTTCTAATATATGTAATTTCTTTATGGTTGTGGGTAAACAGTGTTTCTTGCTGTTTCTTTGTCAGTGTTGATGTGGAGAGTGTCTGGTTTGCYTACTCTGGAACATGCAACATATTATTGTCCTTCTTTRGGGGTCCCTTTCAAATCTATGATACTATATCTGTGTGTGWGAGAGAWTCATATATATYTATCTATATCTRTGGCTGGATGGCTCTTTGTCWGGAGGGCTTTATGTTTTCTTGCTCTGGTGAAGGGAGTTGGACTGGATGGCCTTAAGRCAGCATTTCTCAACCTGGGGTTTGGGACCCCTGGGGGGGGGGTTGWGAGGGGGTGTCARAAGGGTCACCAAAGACCACCARAAAAYACAGTATTTTCTGTTGGTCATGAGGGTTCTGTGTGGKAAGTTTGCCCCAATTTCATCAGARTGCTCCTTGATTGTAGGTGAACTATAAATCCCAGTAAGTACAACTCCCAAATGTCAAGGTCTATTTCCCCAAAACTCCATCTGTGTTTATATTTGAGTATTCGTGCCAAGTTTGGTTCAGATCCATCATTGTTTGAGTCCACAGTGCTCTCTAGATGTAGGTGAACTACAACTCCCAAACCCAAGGTCTAGTGTTTTCTGTTGGTCAGGGGAGTCCTGTGTGCCAAGTCTGGTTCAATTCCATCATTCTGTACCTAGCTGGTTATATTGCATTATGAGATCCACAAAGTTCATATAAAATACATTAAAAACTCATTAAAAATTAACATAGAAAGAACAACATAACACAAAAATGGCAATGTATAGACTCCCTGCATACTAATTTCCTCTCTAGAAAGACCAGAACTACATTCTTTTTAGAGGCTTGATATCTTTCAAGGATAGCTCTATAAAAATTAGATGTAATTGCTTTTTCTACCACAAGTGCAATTTGTAAGAAAAGCAAACCCTCAGGCAAATCAGATAAACACATTCTAGCACATACTCACATGCACAACAGTATGAAAACTCATAAAAGTACAGATCCTTGATAACTGATAGGTGAAGAATCTCAGCAACAGCAGTCATAGGAAGAGGCTGACAAATCTATTACTGACTAATGGACTGGAAGCTCAGTGCCCTCGCAGCCAAGAGTCGAAGTTATTTTGAACTCTGGGCAGGGAAACTGAACTGGCTTTGAGTCCTTTGCTGTGTTTTAGGTAGCCCTTGTTGAGGTAAAAATGAAATACATGCCATAGTTAAAGATGCCTGTGACTCCAAAACAGATAATCGCTAGCTAATACCTCTGAAGTCAGCTAATTCTGGAACTTCTCTGAATGTCAACAGTAGGGGCTGCCATATACCTGTCTCTTTCTGATTATGAAGCGCTCTCACAGAAAGTGCTTACTTCTTACGCTTTCATATTGTCAGTAAATCTTTCTTGATATAAAAACTGCAATTAGAATTCAGAGATCACATGTATCTGTTGGCAAAAGCTTTCTGTTGTTAATTTTCTCTGCTAAAACATAGCCAAGTTTTGGATGTGGAGCCTGAATTCCATGAAGACATTCAGGGTTTATTGGTCCTAACTATGAAAAGTTCTATCTGTGGTGTACTTAAGAAAAAAACCTCACTTGCATCTTCATTGTAATTCTCTTCTCCACAGATGGTTCTTCCTGAACACGGATTATTGTGAGGAATGTTCCTTACTTGTGTGAGATGATTGTGGGAGGCAGCTGTTTGTGATCTCCAGCCAGGATACATTTTTTGGCCTTCAGCAGAGGTATCCAACAGCTGGCTTCAAGTGCTTGGGAACATTCATCAATCACCACCATGTCAAAGTGATTCTCTGGAAGCAGCTTCAGTGGGCCATCGGAAGAGGCTCCTAATTAGAAAGAGAATACAAGAAACTTTAACCTTTGTGCAATAGTGAACATGAGATGGACTTGGGGCTCTTCCCTACTAATCTCCCAATTCTTTCATTCTCTGATTGTGCCATGGCAGGGATCACAGGTTCCTCAACAAAACACAAATTCCTTTCTGTCATGACACCCTTCAGTAGACAACCACAACTGCATCTGAACATTTATTCAGAGGGTGGTTCCTGTCATATTCTACAAGGAGACAGTTCTGGAAGCATTACATGGACATTCCAGGCCTTTGCACAATTAACACTTGTGCGCCAACTGCGACCATACTTCGGGAAGGCGGATCTGGTCAAAGTGGTCCACACCTTAGTCACCTCTAGACTGGATTATTGCAATGCACTCTACGTGGGGCTGCCCTTAAAAATGGCCCGAAAATTCTAGATGATCCAACGGGCGACAGCCAAATTGTTAACTGGGGCACCTTACAGGGAGCAGTCAACCCTCCTGTTCAAGGAGCTCCTCTGACTGCCTTTCATTTACCGGACTCAATTCAAGGTGCAGGTTCTTACCTACAAAGCCCTGAAAGGTTTGGGACACGCCTACCTGTGTGACCGCATCTCCATATATGAACCCACACGATCCCTTCGATCATCCGGAAAGGCCCTGCTCTCGATCCCACCAGCATCGCAGGCGCGATTGGTGGAGTCGAGGGGCCACTACCTTTTCGGTAGTGGCCCCTCGACTTTGGAACTCACTCCTTAAAGACATCAGACAGGCCCCAACTCTGGCAGTCTTCAGGAGGAGCTTGAAGACGTGGCTGTTCCAGTGTGCCTTCCCGGAATAATGATCCCATAGCACTTTGTCCTCTAAAGCACTTTACATTTCTTTAGGTCTGCTCGTATGCCCTTACACAAACATCATTATCACCTTTTTGTCCATGTCCCAGTATTACTTCCAATTTTAACCTTACATTTGGCCTTCCCACTGTTCTTTTTTTAATTTTTAACACACTCTTTAACATCTAATCTTATTTTTCTGCTTCAGCATTTTTTTCTTTTTTCCCAACACTGTGCTCCCCTCCCCCCATCTCAAGCCACAACTTTTACATATCGTCTGTCCAAAATCTCAATTCTTCTTCTAGTTCTTCCTCTATTTGTATATTTATTTCTTTTTTCCAGTTCCTTGCTATAAGCAATCTTGCTATTGTTAATACATTTGTTATCGCTTCTTTATCCTCCTTTTTCAATTGTTTATTGTTATATAATGATAATAAAGCTGTACTAGGACTTTTCTCAATTTTCATATTCATTATATCTTCTATTTCTCTAAATACTTTCCCCCAAAAATTATTTACATATTTACATTGCCACCACATATGTATATATGTTCCTGGTTCTTGACACCCTCTCCAACAATTTTTTGAATTATTTTTGTTTATATATGCTAATCTTACTGGTGTTAGATACCATTTCCATATTAACTTATAATAATTTTCTTTAACCCGTATTGATAAATTTTTTAGATGTCTTTGTCTCCATAATTGTTGCCACTCTATTTCATTTATTTTTATCCCTAAGTCTTCTTCCCACTTCCCACTGTTCTTAACTGTGTGATGTCTTATTGATAATGTTGTATATTTTATTGTCTATGTTTTTTTAAAATGCTTGTATTGTTGTTATTATTGCTTGTATTTTTGTGTTTGGGCTCGGCCTCATGTAAGCCGCACCGAGTCCCTTGGGAAGATGGTAGCGGGGTACAAATAAAGTATTATTATTATTATTATTATTATTATTATTATTATTGAATAGGCATTGTACACCCTATTCCAGTAGAGGAATTACTCAGCTAGTTAAATCCATGCAAATGATATCTGCAATCATACTATTTTTTTATTATTGCAGTTTTACCACCATAAGGCAAATCTCTCATGGGTTTTGGGAGGTAAGTAGTTCAGAGGGGGGTAACCCTTGTCTTCCTTTTGAAGCTGAGAAAGTATGACACATCCAAGGTCACTCAGAGTTTTTTCCAAGACTGAATAGGGATTAGAATCCTGGTCTTCCAGAGTCTCAGTCCAACACTCAAACCACTGCATCACAATAGCTTTCACCAAAGCTTTCCAAAATACAAGAAGCACATTATCGAATCAATACCAGAATCACCAAAAAAAAAAATGGCATTCTGTCCCTACAACAATAAAGCCAGGGTATTGAAGAAAGCCCACAAAAAGAACTATGAGCACTGCAACTGGCATTCAGAGATAATACAGAGTTATCAAAATTATCAAAACTTGATGCCCATATCCTCCATGAATGTACCTAATGCCCTTGGTACTGTCTATGGTCTAGGTTTTCCCTTTGAGCCTGGGAAACATTGGCAATGCCTTGCCATGCCTGCTTTGAATGCAGTTGGTCATTGTCTCCACATGCCACAATAAAATAGTTCTGTTCCTTCAACTAAATAACCACATTTAGCTGGTAACCCTGATGGAGGCTCTTGAAGCAAGAACCTCTACATCTTCATGCTTACAGTAAAACTAACTCCTCTTTTCTGATTAGCATTTACAATACCTAAACTCATGCATTGAGTATAATAAATTCATTAATTTGAAGGTGGCTTTCTCGGAGGGGGGGTGGGTGACGGAGGAGGGGGAGGGGGAGGAGGGAAGGATGGCGTATGCGCGGAGGGGGCGTGGTCCAGCTGGGACGCCTCTGCGCATGCTCTGTTTCTTTTTGTGATTGTGAGTTTGTTGTAATGTTTTTTTGTGTTGTGATGAGTGTTGTGCATACCTTGTGGTTTGAGGTATGCGTCCGCCAAGTTTGGTGTTTTTTCGTCCGGGGTTTTTCATGTTTTGCAGCCCCTTACGACGCCCTTTTCCATTTTATATATATAGATGTTGCTGCTGTGGGGAGACAAATTCATGCTGGTGGGGAGGCATCTCTGCGCATCTCCTCACCTTTGACCAACTTACAGACGTTGGACTCTCAGAGGCACTGAATGCAACAAGTCACTATCTTCACTAATCTTACAACTAAAAAATATATGATGGATTGGTAAGACTACCGAAAGGGAGGTGGAGGGACAAAATCTACAACTACTCTCTTTCCAGCAGCAATTCACTCTTTAACAGAACCACAGTACCAGAAGCATGAGTGTGTGTATGTGTGGTGTCAGCAGGACAGCAGGGAGCCCCTAGACACTGAATGTCCTGGAACATTTGTTCCAGTTGCACCATTGATGATCCACACTTGCAATAACAATGATATAGCAAAGAGAGGTGTTATTCCATTCCAGACACTCTGGTAGAATCTTAATGTGCTGAACTCTTTTAACTAAAAGTCATTTCTGTCCCTCAGGGTTGAAGCAATTAAGCTTTCCTTCTGCTGAGTTTGGCATCAAGACGACAGAAGTAGGTTTGTGCCAAGCAACTATGTAGAACGAAGGAGGTCACAATGATTCTACCTCCAGTTATATCAACCGAATAATTGCTCCAATTGGAACTTGGTTTTGGGGAAAGAAAAAAAAATAGCCCAGTGCAGAAGAATTCAAAGTAATCTGGCTTTGTTCTGACCTGATTTCCATTGGAAGTTTTCAAAGCATCTCACAAAAAGAAAACGTGCAATTCTTGTCTGGAAATGTATTTTTAAAAGTATAAAAAGTTAATGCACTAGACCTAAAGTATCACAAAGATAGCAAGTTATAGATCATAACAGAAGAGTACATTGTCCTCCTTCTTGTTCTAGCTCCCGGGGGGGGGGGGGGGGCAGGACGACCAAGATCATCAGTGTCCAATACTGACTGGGATTTTGGTGCTTTCCTCTTCAAAGTATGCAATGAGAAGACAGCTTTTTCAGTAAACTAAACACAGAATAAAGAACCTGGTATAACTTTGCGTGGAACTAAGTTTCAAAGCTCCAAGTTCTCAATTTATTCATCTCCTTCCCTTAGGAATGCATCCCAAAAGACAGTTTAAATAAAATATTTGACTTTCCAGTGTCCTTCACCATGCAAGATTTATAGTATTATTTCAGTCTTCCTATCAAATGGAAAACATACATTTCAGTAACAAATTGATTTTAGCAGATAATTCCTATTAAGTTTATAAATCTTTGTCAATCCTGTAACTTTTTATAGGAATCCTTCATATATACATTTCATATATGTCCAAAATTATGTGGACATTTTCCAAAATATACTTTAAGAATCATCACCAACGCCTCAAACAAAAATAGCAGCCGTTTTCTTTGGTCATCCTCTAAGAAGCGGCATTATTGTGTATATGTTGCCACTGGCTGCTCTGACTAAAATTTCTTTGGTTAACCTTGTTAATATTGATTCTTTACCCAGAATCTTTCATGATATGAGGATTATACCTCACTAGTTTGTTTGCTTTTTTTCTTCTCTTGTGCTTTTCTGCTCCATAATTAGATGACCTAAGTAACGTATTGGTGCTAAGTGCATTTGGACAACACATACAAGTCTACAATCTACTCTTCATAGAGCATTGCTTCCTATTACTATGTGGGCTATTGAGAGAAAGGGATTCATAAATTATTTATATGAATTATCATGCTCTCATACCAGCAAAAAAGTGAATTATTTTTATTTTAAAGTACATATTGTACAGCTTCTTAACAGGATGACCAAAGAAAATGGCTGCTGTTTTTGTTTGAGGAGTTGGTGATGATTCTTAAAATATAATCCTCATCTCATGAAAGATTCTGGGTAAAGAATAAATATTAATAAGGTTAGCCAAAGAAATTTTACTTCCTTCATCAGAGCAGCCAGTGGGAACACATACACAATAATTAAAGGTACACAGTATCTAAAATCAGTCACGTTGTCTTGGTAAATAATGCACACAGTTTCACAAGTGCCATTATCCCCCCATAATATTCTTGAGTTCAAAGAATAACCATGTTTATTGTTTTGTGACAAGGAAAATCTGTTTGGGATAGGCAATTATTCTCCCTAATGGAAGGACCATACCTAAATAAAGACACAACATGCCTCCTTGTAGCTTTCCAGCAAAGTGTACTCCCCTCCATGAAAAGTATGCCATAATAAATGTGTTACTTTCAGAATTCCTTTGGTCCTTTGCTTCAAAATATCAAGAACACCTCCATCCCTCATTTCCCCAATTCCTTCCACTATTATCCTCTTACTTACTTCACAGGGTTGTTCCAACAATAACATGGGGCAGGGGAAACTGTTTTCAACCTTGAGCTTTTTATAAGGAATGTAAGATGGCAGTACTATAAATAATGAACATGCTGAGAATCAATTCACGAACCCCCATGGCACAATACCCACTTAACTCACATTTCTTTGACAGGTAAACTCACTTGTCTGCTTTTTATTTTATCTTCTGACAGCTTTGGGTGCTAAGAAGTATTCACATAGATCAAAATGCCTAGATTTTATTCACACACAAGAGTGTCAAGAATCATTGGGGTGCTTTTGCAACAGAAAGCAAGTTGAAATATGGCACTCATGAAGTCCTAAAATTGTGATTACCAGAGAGGTTTGGAAAGGGGATGTGAACATTATTGCTGCACAAAAGCAGGCCAAAAAGATTCACATAATAAAGTGGAAGTAGACAGGATACACGTTTTGTTTGGAAGATCACAGGAATGCTCAGTGATAACCAGAGTCATGTCTCTGAGAAAGAAGCAAGACAAGGGTTTACTTAATGTGAAATAAAGAGATGTTAGTTTCTTTATCACACACTTCAACAAGCACAGACTTCTGGAGAGGGAATTTTCAGTCTTAGTTAGGAAAATAACTGTTTACAGGACACTCACAATTATTTAAACTTTACATTCTGTATACAATTTTCCAATATCTGATAAAAAACCATGTACTGATATTTATCTTCTGAAGAGATTGCTGTTTCCATTCTGCTTGTATGTCAAGGCCAAAAATTCTATATATAAGCAAGATCCCCTGTGGACATGCATAGGTACACATGAGAAGGTCACTCCCCAATCCCATACTTTTGGGGATACTACAAAGATAGTGAAGGAAATAAAATACTTAATTAAAATAAAGATTTTAAAAAACTGGTTTATACTTTTCAATTTACACAGTAAAAATAATCTCCCCATAAGAGCATAAATAAGTGTGGAGAAGTCAGGTTTTTTGTATGCTGTGAGCAGTTGCCCAAGCTCTTTTATGAAAAATTATTGATGCTCAATAATACCTCTCCTGCCAGAGAAAGCAGTGTCAGGAGAATACTTCTAAGCCTTCCACATGAAGCCTCAGAAGCAAGATTTCATGACTGTCTTGGGGGAAGGAAGAACTCTAGCAATAGCTGTTCTCTCCCCTGCCCCCACTGAAAGAAAGGGGAAGGTCTCCCCATCCACCTCCTCACTTATCCCCTCTATCAGCACCCTCCCATATATTAATAATAATAATAATAATAATAATAATAATAATAATAATAATAATCTTTATTTGTATCCCACTACCATCTCCCCAATGGACTCGGTGCGGCTTACATGAGGCCAAGCCCAAAATACATCAAACATCCATTGTGCATCCATTCCTGGATCAGAATGCAGCTGGACAAAATAGGGTAGATGACACAATGAAAAAAGTGAGCTAGGAGGGACAGAGCAATGGTGGAAATATAGAATAGCTTCTCTATCAATTGGAAGCATACTACAGAATCACCTAGAGTGTCTGGAAAATGCTTAGGGAGAAGATATTTTGTCAGATGTCGATGAATAAAACACAAGTAGTGGTATTGTTGATATGGGAGTCGTCCTGTGTTCAGCACAGTCAAGAGATAGACCTGAAGCTGAGTCAACCATTGTAAAGTTCAGATGGGAGGCTGGAAATTTTTCCCTCCTGAAGAACACATCTGTGAGAGGGAAACCCTCCTTTCAATGAGATATATGCACAGAAAGAGGAGATGGTCCTCCATATCATGATGGCGGCTGCCATACTATTCTGAATTACATGAATCCCAAAGCAAGGGGCAGGAGGGTTGACTGGGGATGGAGCAGACCTCTCTAAAATTATCAGACAAATAGGACTGGGCCACCAGAATTCTTTCATATACATTTGAACCTCTGATAAGCTACTAGTCTGAACAGCCTTAGAATATGCCATCTTTCCAGTTACTGAACACATTTCCCCCTTTCCAATATATTAATTTTACGCTTTAAACTGTGTTATAGCATTTCATTCATTATTTTGCTATTATATTCACAGCAGTCCCATTGTTAACTGCTTTAAGTGGTGGCATTATTATTATTATTATTATTATTATTATTATGCATTCTGTGATTTTACTTTTCAGTAAACATACTCATAGGGGAACAGTGGGTTAAACTGCTGAGCTGTGGAAATTGCTGGTTGACAGGTCAACAGTTCAATCCAGGAAGCAGGGTGAGCTCTGGTTGTTAGCCCCAGCTTTGGCCAACCTAGCAGTTTGAAAACATACAAATGTGAGTGAATCAATAGGTACTGCTCCAGCAGGAAAGTAACGGCACTCCATGAAGTCATGCTGGCCACATGACCTAGGAGGTGTCTACGGACCACACCGGCTCTTTGGCTTAGCAATGGAGATGTGCACCACCACCCAGAGTCGGTTTCCCCTAGACTTAATGTCATGGAGAAACCTTTCCCTTTAAACAAACTCATGCATGAACACAAAATTCGTAATGATCTGATGTGTTGAGCCCTGCCACCTTACCAGAGTCCCTGTCCCTTCAACAGCTGACTATGAGGGAGCTAGCCAGTTGTAAAAACCAGCCAGCAAACCAACAGAAGCTCTATTAAAAGCCAGACTTTTGAAAGGAGCCAATGATAGCAGCAACCTTCATGCCCAGAGGCCCAGAGGGCAAGGTGTTTGGACATTTGCAAAAGTACTCAGCAAGGAAGTTTTTGGCTCAAGACTGCTCTGTAGAGTAGCTCTCCAAAACTGAAGAGGCATTTGCAATTTAAGGGAGAACAGTAAATTCTGCAGTCCTAGGAACCTACCATCTCCCTCAACCTATTGCTATAGCTGGCCCTGGCTTCAAAGATAATTTGTACATTGTTTGGAATTCCCAATAAAGCTTCATAATATGAAGAATTTACAGCAGCTTAAATCTAACACTGTCAATATTCTGACTTTAGCTGTACTTGTTGAAGGCAAGGACAGAAAGATTCTCCTAACCTGTGTTTGTAGCAAGAATAACATCTGCATGTGTCAGGATTTCAGTCATTGCCATTTCCTCTCGCTCCTTTAGCTCCTTTCGCAGTGTCTTGATCTCACTCAGAAAATGGCTTCTTTCTCCTTTGTCTTGGGTTTTTCTGGTCTTAACCTGCACAAAAAGAGAACAGAAAGGGAAAGAAACCTTAATAAAACAGCCTACAGCCAGACACAGCCAGATAACAATAAAGCCAACAGAAGCTCTTCCATAAAAGTGGGATATTGTACAACTATAGTGCTCTCGGCTCTTGAACCTGATAACAAAGCTTTGATCTATATGAGAAAAGTACATATATTTAGTTCACTTTCCCCAGGAGTGCAAAATTTTAATTGATTTATTGTCAATGAATATTATATTCCTTGGTATTAGTTTGATAAACACCATGATTTTATGTAATAGGTTACTGATGGTATTACCCTAATGTAATCGTCATCTTCTGTTGTAAGCTATAAAATACTAATAAAATGCAATGTAATGTCAAATTATAAGAAACACCTTTTAAAAGAAAAATGTGTTAGGTTTCTATGAGAAAACAAGACAACAATATCTATGCACGGAGATCTAAAATGTTTCATCACCTAAGCACGTTGCACAGCACGACACCACCTAACACCAAGAAACCTCCAACAAGATGAATGAGTCAGTGACATATGTGCCTAAATTAAGCTGAAATTATCATAGATGTAAATTAGCAGCAAAAGAAGGAAGGAAAGACTTTCATATGCTTCCCAATTTGGCATAATTAGTAATCTCTCACCTCAGGTAACTCAATTTTGCTTCTTCAGTTGCTCTCCATTAACTGGATAAAAACTATAGCTCAAACAGGGATGCACCAAAGCAAGAACCAAGTAGAGACACTGAACCAAGGCAACATGCTGCAAACTCTGTGATAAAGATTACAAAAGTTGTTGTGCTTCCCAGCACTTCCTAATTTGAATTTTTCCCCACAATAGTTGGCTCCAAGATGAGGAAGACAGGCAAAGGCTTGAACTATTATTTTGCTCCATCAACAGAAGAAGGTTCTCAGTACAATAAAATGCCCCTTCAGCTCACAAACAGCTTCATTCTGAAAGTGAAACACAGCACCTAACTAAAGTATTCAATGACAAGCTTTTTAAATGAAAATCTGGAAGAAGACGTACAGTGTAGAGGGGCAGAACCCGATTAATTTTCAAGATGCAATTTATAAGAAGAGCCGACAGAGAATTTCACTTTCCTTCTTTTAACAACCACAAAAAAACCTTTAGTGCCACTTTGAGCAACAGCAGAGCTGCCATTAGTAGCCTGGTTGCACTCCACTGCCCCAGAGAATGGCTTAATGCGAACAATGCTATATCATGCTCTATCACTCCCAGAGGCACAATGAGGATGCTCCCTCTGACCAGCCACAGAGCCATCCTTCCCTTTAAAAGACTCTTGAAATAGTCCATGTATCTCCTGTAATACATTGCACTGCGGCTAAAGTGCAACTCTGCTCTGGTTTGACATTGTGGGAAAGCTTGTTTTTGTTGTTGTTGTTGTTCTTGTTCAATAGGAAAGAAGCAGAACGCTCTCTGCAGCTGCCTCTTGTACATCTTCAGCCCACCTCTAAAAATTAATCAGTTTTGCTTGTCCATAAGAAATCTGCTGAATGAAAATGCCTCCCACGCTCCACTTTTGCCAAAGACAAACCTATGAAATCTGAGGTGTCCACCACAATACTAATGCGACTCTTTCTGTGTATTAGTCTTGTGCATTCCTATAGAATCACTATCCATTTTTGTTTGTTTCATTCGTAAGGCCCTGTTTTTGTTTTCGAGCGCCTCTCTCAAAAACGGGCGCCTTTCTGAATGTGATTTTTTATCCCAGGTCTGAAAAAACAAAACAAAAATTGTCCCACTGGCAGCAATGGGCAGGCTTCCCATGCTCCTCTTCTCCTCAATTTTAGGTACTGGCAGGCGTGAATGCTTTCTGGGACTGCATGCCACACACACACACACACTTTCCAAGGAGTGTGCATGCGTGGCTTGCAGGCCCACTCCTGCCAGGGTCTGCAGCCAAGTGCCTCTTAGTGCTTAGTTGCAGGCCCTGGCAGGCGCGGGCGCTTTAGGTCTGCAAGCCACACATGCACTTTCCTTGGAAGGAGAGTGAGTGTGTGGCTTGTAGGCCCAAAGCACCCGCACCTGCCAGGGCCTGCAACCGAGCACCGAAAACCAGGCGACCATTTCTTGTATCCCTTAAAATTGGCTTTAATTGCCTTAGTAATGTCACAGTAAGTTTTTTTCCTATTTGTGAAGATGTAGAAAAACTAAACATTTTGGAGAGTCCCTCATCCTCAGCAAATTACTGAGTTTTGTTGTTGCTCATTTATTTAGTCATTTCCAACTCTTCGTGACCTCATGGACCAGCCCAAGCCAGAGCTCCCTGCTGGCTGTCACCACCCCCAGCTCCTTCAAGGTCAATCCACTCACTGAGTTACTGAGTGGGATAGTCTATTTCTCCACAGCCAGAACTTGGGAAAGAGTATTGCTTCTTTTCAATCTTTATTTGATTTTGGATATATTGCAATCAAAGTTCTATTTGAAGGATTTCACCTTGACTTGGTCTTGATTTTCTATTTATGGAAAGCAGAAATCCAAGTAAGGAGAATTAGTAATTTTTTAGTGGTGCTAGATTTTCTGCTATAAGGGATTTTAAAAATTTCTGAACACTTTATCCTGCTTTCTCATCATTTGCAAGGTAATTTGTAATTTGCCAGAGAACATTCAAATTTTGTTTACGGTGCAATTTTGTAGGTATTTTGCCCTTTTTGGGCCTTGAAATATTACAGTTTATTATTAAAACAAAAGATGAGGGTCATGTTTTTACAGCAATCCCTTGATAAATAACTCCAGTATTGACTGTAAACACAGAGACATGAGTTAGATTACTAGTTCATACCATGGGCCTATTATTTATTTATTTGTTTGTTTGTTTGTTTCTACCCCACTTTATCTCTTTTGGAGGAGACTCAAAGCAGCTTGACATAAAAGTATTAGCATACAATTTTAAATATACAAATATGCAAACATTAAAACAGAATTAAATATAAATGGCATAAAATTCACAGTTAAAATCCATTAAAACATGTTCAAAGTTCAAAGCTTTGAGGGATTGGGGTGTGGTTCAAGGATTTATTGACTTGGATCTTATCCTTTCACTTTATACACAGTAGTCATGGGCCCAGTAACAGTTTCAGTTGTTTAATTCGAGTTTTCGTACCGTTTGTTTCATTCAGATGGCACAAAACGGTAACCCCCCTCTTGTTCTACCCCAAATATTTGGTTTTTCTCTCAAAATTCAGGAAACAAATCACTTTCTGCAATGAGGAATTCTGAAAGAGATTACACAGGAAAACAGAGGTATTTGGGCTTGCTGGGTTAAGGTGGGCTGTAGCCCTTTTAGTGGGGAGGGCAATAGGTCTCTACACAGCTGAAACCCAGTTGAGAAGAACTAAGCAATCCAGTTTATTTTGCTTGTCCAAGTAACAGCATGATATTCTAGTTTCAGATGTCCACTGATAGAACTCACTTCTTAAGAGAATAGATTTAAAATCCGCATTACACTGAAATCTCTTAAATAGGGGTAACTCATGTGTGGGTGAGCATTCATGTCCCAAATTTTGGGCTGGGGAACCAAAAACCTGCTGATACTCTCATTTTGCAATGGCCTCATTTTGGCTCATCTCTGTCAATGCAAACTCACTACTTCCAGTATTCAAAGAGATGGTGATCATGATAATTATTATTTTTCATACATCCTTCCTTCAAAACTTTAGGATGACGGTTCCTCTAATCTACGGTATACCATCACAACAGTGTAGTGAGGTGTTTGAGCCTGAGTGACAGAAACTGGCTCAAAATCACCTAGTGATCTTTCATGCCCCAAAGGGCATGTGAACCCACATCTCCTGTACCCTAATATCACACTCCAATTACTACACCACAGCATCTTTTAAGTATGGAGCATCACACAAATAAATGGCTGCTACAGTGGGATTGCCTAGTGTCCTTCAATTTAAATAACCTACCATTGTGATTTAAGGTGATGTTCTTTAGGACACCACTGCTCCACATCGAATAATGACTATCCCTTGCTTGCTGGATTCCATAAATTTTCCTGCTGCAATTTGCTGTTTTTTGAACTTTGATAAAGGCAAACGAAAGTCACAAACAGATGCCTCTCCAACAGAACAGCAGGAAAAATATACCAAGTCATGGTAAAAACCTGCTTTATGCAGTAGAAATATATTTTTAAACCTTGGTAAATCACTCTGTGGTAGGTCTGCCCTAAAACCTCTGGCTGCCACTGTGGACTTAGAGAACAGATTGCATCTCACCTGCAAAAACCAGAAACATAGATTGAAGGTGTGAAAAGCAATTATCTCCATACAGTAAAAAGAGCCCTTGAGAGGGTAAGCTGCCATTATATTGAATTTTACCTACTTTTTCCTATTTTTGTGTATCTTCTTCCTATCCCAAGTATCTCCCCTACTGAAAAAAAAAATCCTCTTCTGAAATTGGCTAGAAATTGTGAGCTGATATGACATCACATTACATCCAATTGCACCTAAATGCACAGGTATGGCCTTGGGGGTAGAAGTTTGCTGCCACATCCTCTGCAGTTTCTTCTGTATCTGGGCAGAATTTTTTTGGTGTGTGTCAGGAGTGACTTGAGAAACTGCAGGTCGCTTCTGGTGTGAGAGAACTGGCTGTCTGCAAAGACATTGCCCAGGGGATGCCAGGATGTTTTGATGTTTTACCATCCTTGTGGGAGGCTTCTCTCATGTCCCCACATGGAGAGCTGGAGCTGACAGAGGGAGCTCATCCACGCTCACCTCAAATTCGAACCTCCGACCTGTCGGTCTTCAGTCCTGCCAGCACAAGGACTTAACCCATTGCGCTACCAGGGGCTCCTGGGCAGATAGGTTTGGACATATAAAGACACACCTGGAATATCACTGCTATTTCCTCATCAGTTCTTTCTATTTGGGCTCACTCTGTGTGACTTAGCCAGTAAGCCCAGATTTTCATGAATCAGGCTTGGGCAGCTTGAGAACCATTACACCAAAAAGGTTTCAAATACCTTTCCTC